GACGCAACTTCACGCCCTTCGTGCATGCATGCGCGTCCAGAACCGGGTTTGACCGGGTACCCGGTACCACCGGTACTTGGTACCGTGACGTTTACAATTTTTAAGTACCGACTTGGTACCGAAGTACCGAATATTTTGACAACACTAAATATTACTACATAAACCAGTTTCAGTACATACTTAAAACACGGGATAAAACATCCAGTATGCAACCATTTTAATCCATGACATTCAATTCAGAAATCATAACTTGGATGGTGTGGATTTTTTACATGACAAATATTTCTCTTTCTCTAGAAAAAAGACAGACCATGTTGTTTTCAGCAACACAGACACGGAAGGTGGAGGATCTTGCACGAATCTCCCTCAAGAAGGAGCCGCTGTATGTTGGGGTGGATGACAACAAAGACGCGGCCACTGTGGAAGGACTTGAACAGGTAAACTGCTCTTTATCAGCACCCATGGGTCATGTGGTGTTGGTGTAAAATATGAGTTTCACATGAATTAGTTGACTAAGCATGTGGTTTGTTTTATTTTTAGGGATATGTTGTATGTCCTTCGGAGAAACGTTTCCTGCTGCTCTTCACGTTTCTGAAGAAGAATCGTAAGAAGAAGCTGATGGTGTTCTTCTCGTCCTGCATGTCTGTGAAGTACCACTATGAGCTGCTTAATTACATTGATCTGCCCGTCATGGCCATTCACGTGAGTCATTGAGCATTTATGCAGTGTGATGAATGCTTTTTAAAGTCTTACATTTAGTTGTATCAAATTTAAGGCCAAAAAAGTCTTAATTGTCATTTCAAGATATCTTAAAGCAACACTAAAGAACGTTTTTTTACTTTAAAATAATGTTTCCAAAATCGTTTCAGCGGTTCATCAAGTCGTAACAGGGTGAAAGGCACTTCTGGATTCGCTTTGCGGTCCTATATCTGCTACCTATAACCACACTATGCAAGTTTGGCAGACCGGGTCGCGTTTGAATGAGACATAAGAAAACTACAAATGTGACTTGCTTTACGTCAAGCGTTACAATAGTCATTATTTAGTTTTTCTTTGTTTCTGATGTCGCAATACATCATACTTTCATGAAATCATGCAACATACTCTACCTTGTCTGTGGACATCGTTCATTCCAAACCCGGTGCTAGATAAACAGCGAGCGTGCGTGCGACAGTAGGCTGCGGTAGGCTAATAGGCTAAATTATTTACGACAGCGGTAATGGACAATTCCGCTTCCAACCTGTAGGGTGACCGAAGAGGAAAAGTTCTTTAGTGTTGCTTCAAATCTGGCTTAAAGGTACAATATGCAGGATTTTTCGCCACCAGAGGTCGCTAACCTCTTACAATAACAAATGCGTATATTGATGACGTATATTCCACATCAAGCGGAATTATGGATCTTTTATGGATGAGTGAATACATTGACGTTTTAACATGACTGTGGTATGAAGCAGGGCGCGATTGCTAGACGTATACCAGCGCCACATGCAACGCGAGTCCCGCGGATATAAAGGAATAAGGACATTTCATTACCGAACTACACGAAAGTGCTGAATTAATACTCACACAGGTCAGTTTATTAGACGAATTAAACTTGAGGTAACGCAGCGCTGTTTCACTTGCTCTAACAGTTACACTATCACACTAAACTGCATTTGAGTGTGTTGAATGTTGTTAGTTAGGTTGTTTGTTGGCTGTATGAGACTAAGTACCGGTAAGCTAGATTAACATTATCATAACATTTCATCATGTTGAACTAAATAACATTGATTAGTTTTGTGTTCATTTGCTCACCTGTCTAATAAAGTACATGCAACACTCGCGTCTCTGTCAAGTCGAAGTTAGTCGCGGACGCGGAGCTCTCGGCATCTCGAAAGATGTTGATCTTCGTTTTAGTCCTCTTTTTGTCTCAAAGTCTGCTTGTCATGGTCCATAATGTTTGAACAAAACAACAACAGCGTGAGCGTCCTGCTAGGCATAACACAGTTGTCAACGTCTGTCTGTCGCCATATGGGTACTATTGCAGTACGAGGTCAAACCTGGCAGAAACCAGGGGTAACGCGGATATGACGCCATTGACTGGCGACTCCTCACCCCATCTCACATGTCCCGTTTCCTTGGTTAAAATCGCAATTTTCTCACGATTTACAAATAGTTGGAAACATTTGGGATATTGTAAGTAATCAACTAAACAAAATATATAACATTGGCCTAGTGGTTTTTGGATATTTTACTGCAAAAATCCTACATATTGTACCTTTAAGACTCTGAATTAACTGGCTCGTGGTGTCACAGCAGGTCACATTTTATATTTATATAATATATAATTATAATTCTGACTTAATGTTTTCCCTTTTCTTAAAAAAAAATTTAAAGGCTAAAATGTGAGGTTTATCATTTTATTTTTGTCAAAATTGGTATTTGAACTGTAAACCCATATGGTCTTCATTTTATCTATGCAGCTATTTAAAGAAAAGGTCTTAAAAAAAAAACTTAAAGTTGAACCCTAAAGAAACCTACTTTTGTTTTCATGATTTTTCAGGGGAAGCAGAAACAGACAAAGAGAACCACAACATTTTTCCAGTTCTGTAATGCAGACTCTGGCATTCTCCTCTGTACGGACGTGGCTGCCAGAGGTCTCGATATCCCGGAGGTGGACTGGATTGTTCAGTACGACCCACCTGATGATCCAAAGGTACAGCAGTCATGCCCCGTAGTCCATCAAATTTGTAGTCCAACATGGTTGGTCATTTAAAATTTGTGTATTTGTTTTTTAATATATGATTTTTTTGGTTATTTTAGGAGTACATTCACCGCGTAGGGCGAACAGCTCGTGGTATTAACGGCAGAGGACATGCCCTCCTGATCCTGAGACCAGAGGAGCTCGGCTTTTTGCGATTCCTCAAACAGGCCAAAGTATTACATCTCTATTGTTAATGTTTTATATTGGCTTTCAGTGCATGTGGTCTTTGTATGGTCATGACAAGAGTTGAAATACTTCCACGTAGTTATTAAGCTGTTTAACATGTCAAGATGCCTTTCTTGTGTTACTCTAAAGGTCCCTCTGAGTGAGTTTGAGTTCTCCTGGACTAAAATCTCAGACATTCAATCTCAGGTGAGACTTCATATTCAGTCGAATTGATCTAAAACTCTAACGCATTTAAAATTGAATCCCTCTGAAAGCAAATAAACCCATTTAAAATCGCTATTTGCTTTTGTCTTTTTCAGATGGAGAAACTGATAGAGAAGAACTACTACCTTCATAAATCAGCTCAGGAGGCCTACAAATCCTACGTCAGATCTTACGACTCTCATTCCCTCAAACAAATCTATAACGTAGAGACACTCGACCTCCCGAAGGTGGCGATGTCTTTTGGTTTTAAAGTGCCGCCTTTTGTGGACCTCAGTATCCTTTCAACACTGTATTACAGTGAATCTTCTTGCATGTGGAACTTGTTAAACAGTTTGAGTTTGTTGATCATGGAATTGTCATGGTACATGCTAGTGTTCAGAAGTTTGTTTTTTGAAAGAACAACACAGCTGCATTTATTATATGAAAAACTCTTATTCAGCAAAGATTCATTAAATAAAGTATTAATTTCTTTCAAAAATAAATATTACCGACCTCAAACTTTTGAACAGTACTGTAGATCAGTACTAAGCATTTATAGTATATTCATAAGTTGAGTTCTTTCAGAGTCCTCTGACATTGCAGTGTTTGGTTCTTAACCGTTCGCTCTCTCAGACGTTCACAGCAGTAAAGGGGTGAAGATGCAGAAGCGAGGTGGCGGCGGAGGCTTCGGCTACCAGAAATCTAAGAACGTCCACAAGGCCAGGATCTTCAAACACGTCAACAAAGGGAAGGGAGACGGCAGACAGTTCTCACGCTGAGATTAAGATGAATTTTTCCCTTTTGATCAATATGGAGTAACTATCAGACCACACCTTTGTCATTTTTAGTTACTTGTTCAAAAATGTGTGGGAAATGCTCTGATCAGTCTGCATTCCATGTCTGTACAGAAATCTGCTTTCAGAAGACATTATATTGTTAGATAGGTACATTTCTATTGTTACCCACCCAACATTAAACATTACAAATTTAATGAATAATTGCTGTCTGCTCTTTTCATATGAGATTTAACCTGCAACCTTTGTAGCAACAAGGGCTGGTTGAAGGGTTCAAGACCTTTATCAGCCTATTGATTTTCATTTATACATTTGCTCTGAAATGGCTTGATAAGTGATGTTAAATGCAACTGAATATTGATTAAAATGTTGATATTTAAGGAATTTTCCAATCCATTTATCATGGATTTAATAAATAGCAATTTTAATGTATGCACTAATGTAATAAACAGCAATGCAACTCATTTTTAGAGAATTTGTTGTGATGTGGATGATTCAACAGACAACAAATGAATTTAACTTTCCAAAGCTATTGGCCTTCTAATGTTTTTTTCTTTATTTAAATGCATGTTTTGCTTATGAACTATGTACAAAGGCTGGCCAACAGCACAGACTTTAATATTATTTACTGGACAAATTAAAATCAGCGCATTAATATCACAATATTCATTAGGTTGTTTGATTTTCTGTTAAGTATTTTGTTAAATATGTTGTAAATGTTCTATGCATTGCCCATTTCCCCAGCCCTTTTCACCATAAGTCGGAGGCAACTGACCACTCAATCATCTTTAAATTGTGCACAAGAACTGCAAGTCTCAGCTAGTAGGTAATTCTCCTTTAATGTGTTTTGGTCTTATGGCAGCAGATTTTTATAAACACTATACAAAAAGAAAGGTGATTAGCAAGATAATTTGTGTTATATACATTATGGGATTAAAGACAAAGGCACAAAACATTTCCAGTTTAACAGTAAATTAGTTAAATGTACAGAACAATCTAGGCTAACACACATTCTGAACAGCAGAGTGTTTCAGTCGAAAACCAGATGTGATATCAGCATGAGGCTGCGGTACAATGAAATATCAACATCAGGGAATGTGTGTTTTGAAGTGCTATTAGGAGGTTGTGTATTGAAGGGGTGTGTGTGCTTGTCCAGCTGTTACGATGCTCCCTTTGCCCTCAGTTTAGACAACAGCATCTCATTCTTGCGGCACTCCTGAAACAGACAATGGCATGCATTTTATGAATCCGTTTCCTCAATCCAGAATATCAATTATCAATAGATTAATGTCTACACCCTATGTGGGAAGAGGGGGGAAATTTACATAAAGATTTTTTTTGTGAGTATTCACCTCTTTAAAGTCTTTGACGGTTTTAAAGTAGAGTCTCTGTTTATCCAGCAGCTCCAGATATTCATCATTCAGCTGATCTCTGCGCATCTTGTTCTCCTGTCTTTTCTTTTCCATCTTTAAGTGCATAAATACACATGTTAGTGGAACTAAACCAATTTATATGCAAAATGGAAATAAATGAGCAACAGTAGCAGGTTTTGTACCTTTATGCGGCTCTGTTTGATTCCTTCCACAATTTGCTCCATCTGTCTGAGAAACTGTTCTTTACTTCCTGATGAAGCCATGGCCCTAAAAACATATACATACACTTTACCCACATGTACCTGTGCCTTCAGGAAAGACACAGAATTAATTGTAAATTCCTACATGGATCCTAGAGCTTTATTTGATACTCACTGCTGGAAATGATCATGTATGGAGTTCAGCAGATTAACCTGTAAAAAAAAAAGACAGTCTCTTGCACTGCACATCCTTTTAAACACTACACTCTGATTATAGAGTCTGATTCCATTCATAAATACAAGAAAACTCATTCTCAATAGCACAGCAAAACAAAGCAGATACCTCCTTCTCCAGATAAACCTTCTTGTCATCCAGGGTGTTGTAGAGTGTGAAGAACTGTTTTGTCTCTTTGTGTGTTGCAGAAACTGAAAAATACCAAATGAACCATTAAAGAGTGGTTAATAAAGCTGTAAGCCATATTACAACGGGTTTGACTGCGGCCCATCCAATCAGATCTATCAATTGTATAGTCAACATCTTAAAGTTGCAATATAATGGAAATAGCGAGATCTTTTCTTTTGTATTGTGACGTACATCCAAGTAAAATGGATTAGTGATAAAAAAAAAAAACATACATTTACATGCATACAGATAGGGTGAGTTTTTATTGTCATGCTGAGTCTGACTTTAAAATACAAACACCTTGGCTGTAGAGCTCAATGAAGCGTTTCTGATACTGGGTCAGCTCGGCTCTATTGGGAACCTCGTCAATCTTTCGCTGCAGGATGGCGATCTCGCGATTCCTCTTTGCCTGCAGGGGGCAGTAGAGAAAAACACTTGAGTGTGAAGAATCTCTTGCAATTTTCTGAGAAAAAACATCAGTTCAACTTGACCTACCATGAGCAGACGAATCTTCTGTAGTTTCTCTCGGTCTGTAGTGTACTGCTGATCAATCAACATATTCATCTCCTACAAACACACATGCAGAGGGATGAGTCCGAGAAACGAAATTAGACTGACACAGACCGACTCCGTTCCAAAACTTTGGCACACCCAACTAAGAGAATTGTTTCAAAAAGGTAGGCAGCCTTCTGCGATACCTTCTTTATGTTCTGGAATTTTTAAAGACTTCAGGACTCCATAAAAGACTTTAATCCACCATAAAACTCAATAATAAGAAGAAGATACCTTCTTTTGGCCAAATACTAAGGCAGCAATCCCCAAATCATTGAAAGAGGCAAGATAAAAAAATGTATCCAAGATGGTGGACAAAGCGACGTATTGATAAAAAAAAGAAGCTATATCCAATGAAACTTTTTGGGTTTTTATCCAATATTTGTGTGTGCTATGTATGATTATATTTGAGACTGTCACCGGCACCTTCTTATCATCTCCTTCGTCTCCAGATTCCAGCTTCAACTCTTCAATATTCTGCTGCAGACGGGTCATTTCCTCCTATACACACACATAACCGTTAATGATAGTCATGTCTTTAACATTACTCACTAAAACAGAAAAAAACAAACCAAGTTAATGCGACATGTTGTTATTGTAACGTACGCGGCAATGTGAGCGGAACATTTGCTCTTGATGTTTCAGGTTTTCATTCATAGCCACCAAAGCACGAACTTTCTCCAGCAAGCTAAAAGATAAAAACAAACATAATAGTTAAAAAAGCACGGACACTGACACTTTATAGGAATCATCATGCTTTTTGGCTTTCAACTTTTAGCAAATGAAAAGCGTGAAGTGAAAAATTTGAGTTTCCAAAATTTTAGTCAAGTTTCTCAATTGATTTCAATACACTTTGGTGTCAGTGTGATGCTAAGCTATATATCTGAACAATATATCCCACATTTACCATTGTTCGGCGAATTTCGCATAAGGGCGAAAGATTTCCTCACACAGATTTCGCATCAAATTCAGATTGTCGTGTGAAATTGCCATGTCGACCAACAGAAAGCAGCTTAGTTTAAAAGTGACTTCTCCCAGCAAGCAATTTTGCATTTAAAAGACGTCTAATAGCCGTCCAAACACAGCCCTGACGTCTAGGCTAAAACAAGGCAAATTTGGGCTGTCAGTGAAAATTTTAAAGACGTCTAACTATAGCTTAAATCTAATAACTTGTAATCACTGTTGACTTTGCTTACATGATGGAATAACATACATGTCGCAAGTTATTTGGCAAAACGACATGTAACCAAATTATAGGTTATTTTGGCTAGAAGTGGGTTACTCATAGCTTGGACTATATCAGGTCTATAGATAACCTAGACGGTGAAATGACAGCTATTGCTAGCTGGGCTGTGTGAGCTGTGCTTCATACATTGCTACACTATTGACAATCAACAATTAATCTTTTTTTGTCTGCGAAATTTCGCTAATGTGACCGTCATTAGAATTTCACATTATCTTACCTACCTTTTGGAACTGCCTTTATGTCAGGATATGCATCCTATATGCATGCATATATAGCATCTCAAGCGCCTACAGCAAGGCTTTTTCAGAAGAGCGCCGACATTTTCAGCTGACTAAAAACGCTTTGGTGGACATTAAGCCCAATTTACACTTCTGCGTCGAACTCACGCCGTAGCTACGTCGAAGGCTGTGTGTAGCGCGCGTACCCTTTGGCGTACCCTGACGTGCACCTCTCCAAAAATTTAGCAACACGTCAATTCTACGTGGACCACAAGCGCTGTGATTGGTCTGCTAGAACCCCTCCCTCGGGTTTCACATGCTCCCTCTGCATGTGTAATTGCACGTCAATGCAGACAACGACGCAGAAGTATAAATGAAAACCAAGTTTACAAAGAAAACAAAAAGTTTAGAGAATAACAGGTGCTCTGTTTACTTACCCAGAATCTGTCTGAATCTCCACATCCTCTAGTGAGCTCAGCTCCCTCTCTAGCTTTTCAGTGTGCGCTGTGGCCTAAAAAACACATACATTAAAGTCTTTTCTTCCCTATTGCGATGTTTGAGAAGCCGTTTCACTCCGATATACAAGAAAAATGTAGGGCAGGACTTGATTTTGCAGGAATTGACCATTGGATCATTGTGGTTTGCTATTGCTGTGATCTCATGTGAGTGAAAGGTTGTCCCGCTCTTAAAAAATTATTTGATTTCATGATTTTCCAAATTTTGATTTCATGGTTACCGGTACTTTAATGGTCCGAGTAAACCTGTTATCTGTCAGTAAATATCTGTCTACCTGTCTTACCTCGGCTAGTTGGATTTTAGCATCCTCACACGCCACTCTGGCCTCCTGCTGTTTGGATTGCAGCTGGAATAAACCAAGAAACAATGACGAAAGAAACAAACAGGAGAGACAATAACTGTGATATCAGCAATGTGAGGTATGCGCATTACCTCTTCCAGCTCTTTTGTTTTTTGAGTGATTTGTTTGTTGAGTGACGTCAGCTGACGCCGGTGTTGTTGCGCAGGCCCAAATCTCTCTGGCCGATCCTCCACAGAACGCTCCGCCTGTTCAATCACATGTATGTACAGTAAAGCCTGGCATACATTAAAAGGAATTTACTAGGCATTAAACACTTGACGCCATTATAAATGGTTAGAGAAACCAGGCATCATACACTAAATGACTGGAGAATCACACAGTATCACTGCGTCTAAAATCAGAAAACATTAGGCGAAAAGTACCCGGATGACCTACTACTTCCGCCGAGATTTTGAAGAGCGCATTCGATGGACACTTTACTATCCCATGAGGCCACAGTATTTATGAATTGATGTGAATCGCACAATGATTCACAACCTGATTGAGACACACCCTGGCTAGTAATTGTGCAAACTAACGTTGACTCCTCCAGACTGCAATGCAATCCAGAGCAAAAATCTGTGCAAAGGTCATGTAGTGCATTCCAGCATCAACCCATAAGTGTAAAAAGAGAGGGACTATTTCTTTGGTATTCAGTGTAGTTTTCACTATGCTCACCTTTTCGGCATACTCAGTGGCAATTTGCTTAATCTCCTCAGACTGCAGACCAACAATCTGCCCAACTGTGCTGGCTGACAACTTCCCCTACAAAAACACATACAGAAATAGTGTGTAAAATGATCAGACTGTTGACCATTTATATATATATGCTTGGTAAAATGGCATCTGCTGAAGACATACGTGATGAGTAAATAATCAACTTTTAAAGCAAATGTTCACCCAAAGATAAATTGTCATTCTGACCACATTTACTTTTTTCATTTTTCGGCAAACTATACCTTTAAAAGGGATAATTTCTTTCATCATTTACTCATCCTCATGTTGTTTTATGCCTTTCTTTACTGATATTTTCTTTACTCAAAATATTATTTTATGTTCCACAGATAAAGCAAGTCATACATTTTTAGCTTACTTTTGAGTGAACTATCACTTTAAACTCTTTAGCATGCTATGCGTTTAGAAGTTTACCTCCTCCGTTGCCATGGCAGCCATTCCAGTCATCAGGGCCTTTATTCTGAGCTGTAAAAGAATCAAACAGAGCTTCTGATTGGTTGATGAAAAATTAATGATGGTCAGATGAAGAGTGGGTGATTAGGAACAAGTGAGATTTGATTGAAGGACAAGTGTAGGTTCATATGATCCTAACTGACCTCCTCTGCTGCCTGCAGGTCCTCTTCTTCAGACACTTGGGCCATTCCAGGCGGCACACCCTGCGTGCCCTGAGCCAACACCTGCTTCTGCTCCACTGCCTGCTAGAAACATTATCATCACATGATCTAACTAACAACAAATCAAAATCAACAAAGATCAGTTCCAAGCCCTCCTCTCAATCTGTGGTCTATTATACCCAGATGGACACCACAGGGGCGGTTCTACGGTCAGTGCATACAAAAATCTTCGTCAACAGACATTTTCTGCCAATTTTGTTGCCTGTAGAACTGTAAGCTGAAAACTGAAAACATTTTATATCAGTTTAAATGGCATTCCACTGGGTTTGGATGATTGAACTACAATATACACCAGACATCAAGCCAATTGTCAAATGTTTTGCATGCATTGATTTTGTTTTATGACTAAATTTACCAGAAGTTATCCCACACCTCTTGATCAGTGTATTACTAATATATATCCATGATTTTCAACTTGTTTATTATTACTGTTAATGCATTTACCAATACATTTTTTAAATCAAAATGTGTATCTGTTAAAGGGATACTCCACTTTTTTTGGAAATAGGCTCATTTTACAACTCCCCCAGAGTTAAACTGTTGAGTTTTACCGTTTTTGAATCCATTCAGCCGATCTCCGGTTCTGGCGGTACCACTTTTAGCATAGCTTAGCATACATCATTGGAGTGGACAAGACCATTAGCATTTCTAAATGCTAGAAGCGTCTGAAAATAGGCTACCTTCCGTCAACACAATGGAACTATTTTCAGGCGCTGCGTCATATCATTACGCCTGCTGCTCTCATGGTACGGCAGTAAAGTTTCTTGATTATTACGCAGGAATGAGAGTATAGTTCCTAGCCATATCAGCCTAGAAAATAGCAACTTTACATTTTCGGTCGGTCTTAGTGCACGATGTAACTACAGAAGAGTCAAGTTTTAAATAGGAAAAATATCGAAACTCTTTGTTCATTTTTTTTTTTAGAAATGCTAATGGTCTTGTCCACTCCAATGATGTATGCTAAGCTATGCTAAAAGTGGTACCGCCAGAACCGGAGATCGGCTGAATGGATTCAAAAACGGTAAAACTCAACACTTTAACTCTGGGGGAGTTGTAAAATGAGCCTATTTCCAAAAAAAGTGGAGTATCCCTTTAACATTAGTTAATGCATTGTGATAAATGCTGTAAAAACTGTATATTCCTCATGTTAACTAATGCATTAACTAATATTAACAAATAAGACTTCACTGTAGTGTTACCACAAAACTATTTATAGAGATTGCACTCACAAAGAACAACTTCTTGCCAATTCTAGGAAACTGCAAAGCTTAATTAGAAAAAATATCCACCATAGAAATTTAAATTACCTCAAAGGAATTGAATAATTTATCCATGCTTATTTGTAACCTTCTCTGACTGAACTTTTTTATGTGGTGAGGCAGAAAAATGAAAAGAACATCTGATACTCACTGTGCCTGCTTTAGACTGTTTGCTGAATCCATAGCGCCTGGAAAAACAGAAATGAATGCTTCATGTTCACATTACACACAGCGTGCAGCTCAAGGCAAGAGTCGGTTTCAAAACACATCAGACTACAGGCATGACACACCACATGACAGGAAATTACATTAACGAAACATTTAGATGCAACGTGTGAAGAACAGCACTTTGGGAAGATGCAAAAGTAAAGACAATGCAAAGTCATTACATCTGACCGATAGTCACTCTGTGTCACTCCCATTCTCAGAAACTGAACCTCAGTCATACTCACTGCATATACTGTGATATGAGAAGGCACGGACTGATGAGTGAAATAAGAGACAGATGGAAAGGAAAAAGGGAGGAAATTTAGAATGAGAACATTTGAAGAGTACAGAAACCTGTGAATTAATAGATGCCGTTAATGGAGATATAAACCCAGCGCTGCTGAAACAATGAGGCAGGAAACAGACCAGTAAAGATGAAGGGAACAAATAAGAGGATGAATGAGGAAACAGAGAATCTGAACTGGATTTGCACTGTATTTGTAATCAAAGACTTCCTTCAAAAACATTTTAAAAAATCGTACTGACCCCAAACTTTTGAACAGTAATGTTTAAACATCCCCACACAGGCGTCACATGCCGGAATAACACTTTACATTTATTCTCAGTTCATTTCCAGTTGGACATGATAAGAGTGCAAAGTCATAAGGTCCTGTGATGGAAGGGTAAGAGAGTACCTGCCAAACTCCAGCAGGGTGGAATGAACCCGAGACTCTTCATCCAACAGCTCACCAGCATCTACCTGCCGTTTATAACGCCTCTGAGGAGCATACACCTCCTACGCCCAAACACACATGACAATATACAACCATATTTCACAATATTGTATTATCAAATATAGAAGGATGAACAGATGGCACATCAGCTCTGTAGCTGTGGGGCTCATGGGGGCAATATTAAATTCAGCAGAGATGAAAAAGCAAAGATAAAAGGCTATTGGATACTTACGCAAACATTCACCACAGTACTGATGGCTCGCTCCTTCCTTAATGCAAACTCCTCGTCCTAAAATAAACACATTTACTGAGTCTTCAAAGATTGCAGATTGTAACATGTTTGATATATTACACTGTTAATACATTCTAATTATATTTCAGTGTTGCCCTGTTGTCTCACCTCAGGAAATGCATGTGTTTTCTGGAACTGAGAGATGGAATATGACCTGACATAATCTCCCATCTCCTCCCGGGTTTCAATCGCCTTTTTTACCAGCCACTATAGACCCCACAAAAGATGCATCGTAAGTGTTCTTGCACTGTTTCTCAAGTCATTTAAACTAAATACACTCCTGTAAGTTTGAGGTCAGTAAGGTTTTTCTTTTTTTTAAAGATATTAATATTTCTATTCAGCGAGGAGGCATGTGACACTGAAGATTGGACTAACAGCGGCTGAAAATTCAGCTTTGCTTTTACAGGAATACAATTTTTAAATATATTATAATAGAAAACAGTTTTGAATTGTCATAATATTTCACAATATTGCTGTTTTTACTGTATCTTTGATCAAATAAATGCAGCCTTGGTGAGCATAAATACTTGTAGGTGCCACAGATATGCAAGTGTACATACTTGTACAACAGGGAAGATGTGGATGAAATCCAACCCTTGGATCTGATGAGGCTCTAATCGGTGAGGACATTTCATTCTGGGCAGAACTGACACAATCTTTTCTGTCAGAGCGCTTAAGTGGAAAAGATACAGACAATCACATTTACCAGAATTCAGTTCAGTCTGAACAGAATTTTTTTTGTCAGTCTTCATTCTTCTAATGTTACTGCATTGTTTAATCTACCACTCACATTTTCTGACCGATGGTGGAATTTTCTTGGAAGAGTAGGTCAACGTCTATGTCAAAGTTGCATGTAGTTATACACCAGGTCATTCCTCCTACCACCTTAAGTAAAAGCAGAGATTGTTCATAATTAATCTTATGGTGTGTAAAACACACCATGATTTTGCCAAGACATTTTCCTGGATCAACGTATTTTGTTTATGCTGGAACAACATTCCTTTTCAATAATGTAGTCCTAACCCTATCCTTACCTAGCCTAATCCGAACCCTACCCATAACTTATCCCTAAAATCAGAGGGAAATGATGGTGAATAATTGTTGAAATAATGTTCACCATGGTTGGCACATGTGTGCAAAGTCGGATGTACCTTGTCAAAGGGTGACAGTCCCTTAATGCGTGCTCTAAAATAACCAGCTGCAAGCAACAACTCCAAAATCTCAGCAAGCTTGACACTCTGCTCCTCATCCTCACGTGTCTCCACCTGTCAATCACAGTACATACAGCTGTCAGTATATGACGGACGGTACAGCCTCAGCAAATTAAAACACACTCTTTATAAAAAAATCTATATTTTATGTTAATCTTTTTCTGTTACTTGCCACTGAAGAAACGAAAAGGCAGTATTTATTGATTCTTAAATGTTCTAAAATTCTAAAAATGTATCTAAAAAGGGATAGTTCACCCAAAAATATAAATTCTGTCATCATTTACTCACCCTCATGTTGTTCCAAACCTGTACGAGTTTCTTTCGCCTATTGAACACAAAAGAAGATATTTTGAAGAATGTTGGCAACCAGACAGTTGACGGTAGCACTTCCATAGTATTTTTTTTCCTACTATGGAAGTCAATGGGTGCCGTCAACTGTTTGGTTACAAACATTCTTTAAAATATCTTCTTTTTAGTTCAACAGAGAAAGAAACTCGTACAGGTTTGGAAGAACATGAGGGTGAGTAATGACAGAATTTTCATTTTTGGGTGAACTATCCCTTTAAATACATACATTTGTAGATAAATACTTCATATATTATGCCTATTATTTATTTTCTTAATGCGTGTATTCTCACTTTTATATAAGTGAAGAGGACTACTACAACATATGCGTCTCTTTACAATTAGAACACAACATTTTTATACAGCATTTATCTTTAACCGATAAGTTAAGTGGCAGGATTCTCTGATTCATTGAAGCATAACCTTAAAAAATTAAACTGCCTGCAAATGCAAATGTGCCCACATGAGGGTTTAAGTGTTTTGTTTCCAGTGGTACCTTGATGAGATTGCCCTCCTGATCATACTGCGCTCCGATTTTCGAGCCCGTTCTCACTCTCTGGAACACAGAGGTGGCCGCCATGTTGATCACGATGTGTCACGTGAGATGTATACCGTGACGCAAAAGTTGTCACGGTCAAAACCCATTCAAATGCGCACTACCAGAATAATAGTGACCCCGTGCTTATTGTGTGTGTTTAACAAATACGACATACTAATGTTGTATTTGCTTGGTTTAGGTTACCCAGAAGAAAAAAATCCATGCTCTCATCCAGCTGACTGGCATGATAATGAGGAACAGCTGTCATTTGTTCAGCTATCAGACCTTATTAAAACATTACAGGTTGTATTATTTGTATAAGAAGTAAAGTCACATAATTGTTTTGGTCTTGCATCAGTTTTGATGTTTATTTTTATGACAGGAGCTTAGAGATGTGACACAGTGTCACATCTGCTCCTGTCATAAAAATATCAAAACTGATACAACTGATCAAACAAATCAAAATCTGCACTGACACTCCTGAACCTATGCATAAATTACTTAATGGGTAAAATGCATAAATGACAATGGTAAGACAAAGTATTTAGTATGTTTTCAGTATATTAAATATGTTTACTTCTTTAGTAGGTCTATAGTAATGAATATAGTCACAGTGTATAGCATACTCTTCTTTTGATTTTATGTGAATAAACATTTTAATGTTATCTGTGTCATATTTAGAGAAGATGTGACCTTAGTTGACTTATTGGCCTGAAGAGTTCATTAGGGCTTCTTGAGGACCAAACCCCAAGAGGATGCTTTCTGTACACGCTGTTGAATACAAGCTGTTAAGAATTTCAGCTATTTATAAATAGGCCTAAACAGTGATTCAAAATTATATGGGATATTACATAATGATTAAATGACAGGTTACATTTAGTGAACCACCAACAATTTATGATATAAACTAATCGCAAAATCTTCATTTAGCTTTTGATTTATGTATTTCCTGCTCTTATGTTCAAGATTGCTCATGCATTTAATCAGTCTTGGAAGTTCAGATGGAAATGTAAATATAGGCCTACTGTAAATTAAAACCAGTATGATGGTTGAAGCATCTTCAACAAAAGTCAAATCAAAAAGCTAATTTATTGATGTATGCAGAGCATAAAAAAGTGCATAATCCTGACATGTTGCACATCAGGATTCCAGATGCAGCATTTTCACCTGCATTAAAACAATAGTAATAAAATAGTAGTTCAGAATATTTGCTTAAATGTTCTACTCTGTTTAATTAATGCAAAAATAATTAGAAAAGCTAACTAAGAAACCAAAAAAGATATAATGTAGCAAATGTACATGCCAAATCAAAATTTTGTATTAAAAATAATACTAATTGATTTAACCTTTAAATATATACACTCAGCATTATGATATTTCCGGGGGAAATGTCCATCTATTGAATTAAGTTTCTAAAGATATTTTAGCATTTCTATGCTTTGCTTGTATTTGTATCTTTCCTCATTTGTAAGTCGATTTTACCAAATGAATTTATGTAAATATAAATGTAAATGTGGGTTGGGCTTGGCAAAGACTTCACCATTCTGTACATCCTGCTGATTTATGCTTGGGTGTCCAAATGGGTTTATGATTCAAGACACTCTGTCAAGGAACTCTTTTGAGTTCAATAATTTGCTGTAATGCATCACAAAATACGAAACTGTGCATAAGGTGAACACTTGTTCAAAATGTGTCTTTTTTTTTAAATTATGTCTATTTATGGAAATTGTATCTTTTATAATGTAGACTTTATATATTGTGGAGGCCTATGGTGTAAAATTGTTTATCATTCATCAATTGTTCGAAATGCAGATTGTTTCAAAGTTTTGCTGTATTTTTGACAAGAGCAGAAAGCAGACCCATTGCACCTAATAAGGCAGGGAGAGAAAAAAAAAAGGAAAAGTGGGAGTGTCTAGGAAGGAATGAGGCAGAGGAAGGGGTGTAGGGAGGAGGGTGGCTGCATCACTGTGAAAGCAGCCCAGACTGCGGCTCTGTTTTCCCAGCCCTGCCTGCACACGCAGCAGCAAAGACTCAGAGCCCATCCTCCTCATCTGATGTTTATATGCTTCAGTCCGGTGAGTTCTGCTGCTTATCATCTTTTCCTGTGTCACTCCTCAATATTAGCTTCAGCCCTCTCCAGACTATCTTTGCTATGTGCTAGGAGCATTACTTTGTCAGCATTTACTGTTGTTAGTTTCCTCATTTGAACTAAAACCCTGTAACTGCAATATTTTAGGATTGTGCACATTTCGAAACAAATTATGTTTTTGCTAACGCCTGATTTAAATCACAGCAAAGACTAGTAATGCTATAGAATATCCATTTGTTCAATACAGAATAATGGCAATAAACATTTAAGAGCTTAATTTGATTCTGCTTTATCCACTTGGGATATAACAGAACATAATGATGGTGCCAGTAGAGGATCGTGTGGATCTCAGAGACATATTTAGCCATGACTCATGACTCTGTATATCACGCCTGAGGGCACTTCACTTGTGCCTGAATGAACTTGTTTTTTTTTTTTGGGGGGGGGGGGGGGGGGTTACTTTGTAGAAATATACTAGTTTTCTCCCCATTGTAATATAGGGCATATTGGTTATGCAATCAGTCTATTTATTTTATTTAGCCTGTCCATGTTTTCACTGAAGAAGAAGAAAAAAAGCAGATATGACAACATGCAACAACAGTTTGAAAGAAGCTTGTGAGCTCTTGTCTCACTATAGCACAACACTCATAAGGAGTCACATCATTGACACCTCAAGCTGTTAGTGGCACTAAATGCATAATATATCTAAGTGTACAGAATACAGTGATGGAGAGATGATTTGAATCAACTCTGTTCAAAATTCTCAGCAGTCTGTCTTTTCCTTTATTAGCCTATTACCATTATTGATGTAATAACATAAACATTTCCTAAAATTAGAATTTTTGGTGAGACAGTGATGTACTTTTTTTGTCTGCAGAAAAGGTGCATTATAGAAAATGGAATCACTTCAATCATGCTGTGAGTAGACAGACTTTTTGTGTGGGTGTGTGTGTGTGTGTGTGGGTGTGTCCATTTTAAATAAGCTTGAATAGGCTCTTTCTGAACATTACTAATAATGGCCATTTCTCGGTTTCTGGCAGGTGGACGGAGTCATCAAAACCTTGAAGTAATGAAGGCAGGGATGTTTTTACGCAAGGTGAAGTCTCGTATGTGGAAGCGTCAGCGGCACTACAAACTTCAGGAGGACTGCAAGACTGTCGCATATAAATCCAGCTGGGCAATAAACTCTTATTCTACCTGTAGGCCTTTATTGAGTTGATATTTTTTAGTAATTATCATGGTTTATAGTAATCGTGTTAGTTCATGTCTATTTTTAAAGATTGTGTGCATAATTAATTCAAGATTGAGCTAAAAATGACTGATTTTGTAAGAAAAATATAGGTGGCGTGCCAAAAAAACGCCCAAAAACATTCAAACAGACTTTTTTGAGAGGAAGCCATTAGGTATTGCATAGAAAATAAATAGAAAATCCAAAATGTCTTTATGATAAGGAATAAAAGTAGACACGTCAGGGAAGTAGATCAGATGACAGTAGTTGGAAATCCACCTTGACAATGGTTTCTGAAAAAAAAGACTTTAGATGAATATCTTCAGCTGCTTGTAATGAAATTAAGAGCTCCAATGGTTCACTATAGTATGAACAATAGTAAGGAATGAGCAATAAGTAACAATGAAGCCTACTTTTCAGGCACTATAACGTTTATTAAAAAATAAAAACTAAGAAGAAGGGCTCTGAAAAAACTTTACTTTTTTCCCCAGTCTCCATCAGTGATGTGGAGGCTGTTCGTGAGGGACATCAGTCGGAGATGCTCCTCAGTGTAGCGGATGAGTTTCCTGCTGACCGCTGCTTCACACTGGTGTTCCGCGGCCGCAGAGGAAACCTGGATCTGGTGGCCGAGTCAGCGGAGGAAGCTCAGGCCTGGATTCAGGGCGTAAGAGCCCTCATGGAGAACATTGAGAACATGGATGAGAGCACCAAACTTGACCAGTATCCTTGTTATAAAAAAAAGATATTTTCTATATGCTATATTTTTGCTTGAGGCAAGTTCCGATCATTATTATATTTTATATATTTATTCAAAATATAAAAAAAGTTTGAAAGATAGATAGATAGATAGTCCAGCTATTTTCAACTTATATTATCAACCTAAACCACTCCGTTCAGATGGATCTCAGACTGGTTTTTGAAAGCAGATCGGAACAAGGATGGAAGAATGAATTTTAGGGAGACAAAAAAACTGCTGAAAATGATGAACGTGGACATGAATGAAGAACATGCATACTGTCTTTTTATGGTGCTTAAGTGTTGTTTATGTGCTTTTGGATCATACATTTTCATCATGTTGGACCTGTTTGTCATATGTTGATGTTTTCTTGCAGAGGGCAGATAAGTCGGAGTCAGGAACCCTGGAAGATCAGGAGTTTGTGGAGTTCTATAAGATGCTCACCGAGAGAATAGAGGTGCTGGATTTATTCCAGGATTATTCCAGTGATGGACAGATCTTGTCTCAGTGTGATCTGGAGGAGTTCCTGAGAGAGGAGCAGCTAGAGGGGGAGGCCAGTTATGAACATGCCCTTCAGCTGATTGATCGATATGAGCCTTCAAACACAGGTAATGATAACCACTACTATACTCTTTAGTTTATTATTTTTGGGTCACACTTCAGATTATAATCCAATTCTCACTATTAACTAACTATTAACTATGACTTTTGCCTCAATAAACTCTTAATTACTGCTTATTAATAGTTAGTAAGATAGTTGTTACGTTTAGGTAATGGGTAGGATTAAGGGATGTAGAATATGGTCATGCAGAATGAAACATTAATATGTGCTTTATAAGTACTAATAAAAAGCCAATATCCTAGTAATATGTATGCTAATAAGCAAATAGTTAATAGTGAGAATTGGACCCTAAAATAAAGTGTTACCAATTGGTAGACCCTTGCAGTACCACCGTTGGTCCCCAAGGGATCAGGACATGTACCCACTTTTGAAGACCCTTGCTTTAGATTTACAGCTATGTTCTCTGTATGTATGAATATTCAATTAATTTCGGAACTGGTTGGTTAAAAAATAAAAAAATAAATTGAAGAATTATTTGCATGCCTGTGAAGCAAATGAATGGAAAATTCATCTGGGTCCTCTAGCTTTTAATAATGGAGTAGTTGAGCACTTAATCTAGATCGCTGGCCAACAGTGAAGTGGTTCTTTACTCATTATGATTACTGAGTAATGATGGAAGTTTGATCAGATAAGAGGCTTCATTTTGTCTTCTTGTACAGCCAGAATGAATCATTCAATGTCAATCGATGGGTTCCTAATGTACCTGACGTCTCCTGAGGGATCCATCTTCAATCCAGAGCGGCAGGGCTTCTTTCAAGACTTGAGCCAACCTCTTGCCCACTATTACATCTCGTCCTCACACAACACTTACCTCATGGAGGACCAGCTAAAAGGACCAAGCAGCGTTGAAGCCTACATCCAGTGAGTTCTGCTTATTTATGGTAATACAGCCATGTGTGTAACGGTGAAGAGGCTGCAATGAAGCGCACTAAGAAGAAGTACCGGTAAACAACAAAATCAGTCTTTAATAATAATCCAACAAGAACAATCAGGAGATTTCAGAAGTAATAGTAGAACAACCACATAAAGACATAAGCGAGACCGAACAAAGAACTGAATAAACTGAAGGCTTAAATACATAGACAAAGTAATTGACGGAAAAACAGAACAGGTGCGTAAATGAGGAACTATGGAAACTATTAAGCACAGGGAACTCAGGCAAACCACAACAGGGAAAACAAGCAAAACACAATGAAACAAAACAGACGTAGAACTGCACGTTACAATGTGTCTACTTGACTACACTTATCTTTGATGATATAATTAGCAGAAAAGGATTTTATGAGCATGTAAGTAGTAATATAAGCAATATCTTAAAAATAAACGTCCAAAATGGAGGTTTTCGCAGTTCCCCAAAGAACCTTTCAGTGAAAACATTTCTCAAAATAATCATTTTTACTTATTGTAAAAGAACATTTTAATAATCTGAAGAACCTTTTTCCACTATAAAGAATCTTTTGTGTGAAGGAAAGGTTACATAAATGTTAAAGGTTCTTCATGCAACCATCAATGCCAAAAACGAACCTTTATTTTTAAGAGTATAATAATAGAGTGTTTCTGTTCACTCACTGTAACTTCAGAGAAATCATGTGTTCGCTTAGTTGAATACATTGTGCTTTGTTCTATGTGTTCATAACTGTGGTTCTTCATTTGTGCTGGGTTGAACATCTGAAGGGCTCTGAAGCGAGGCTGCAGGTGTGTAGAGGTGGACTGCTGGAATGGACCGAATGGGGAGCCGGTAGTTTATCATGGACACACATTCACATCTAAGATTCTCCTCAAAGACGTGATTACTACTATTGCAAATTATGCCTTTAAGGTGATCTTTATGCCCCAACACTTGTTCAAATACATAATTATTTGTATTATAGTATTAGCCTAATATTAAATATATAATTATTATTAATATCTATTAATAATTATTAACAATGTTGTCAGCATTATTAATATTAGTACCAACATTATTGCTTATATTCATGTTGATGATATTCATATAAATTATTTGCACCGATTATTATTATTTGCATAGATTTCTTAATCTTCCCATCATTCCTACTCTCAGGCATCTGAGTATCCACTCATCGTGTCTATTGAAAACCACTGCAGCATAGAGCAACAAGAAGTCATGGCTCGACTTTTCAGAGATATCCTGGGAAATATGTTGCTGACGAGCACAGTAGATGCCAAAGTGGCCAGTGAACTCCCATCCCCAGAGGTGAGCTATAAGGCCTTATAGTGATAGTGATAGTGGTGCACTTAACTTAACTGCTCTTAATGACTTCTGTTTGAAAAACATGGATGACTCACATGGATCTTAAAATAATGTATGGTCTTATAATTATTAATACATTGTTAGCTAACTGCGTGATTTGTATATGTACTTGGACACAGTCAATTCTGATAACAGATCACTCTAAATTGTAATGTAGATATGCATTTTCTGTATACTTACTCCTTTTCAGAGTACTTATATTTTAAATATGTATTGGTATATAAAGACAGTTTAAACAAATTTGGGAAAAAGTGTTTTAGAAAAAAACTGCCTAGCCTGCTTTTAACTATTGATGTTCACATGAAAAAGATGTGCATTACCTATTGTTGGATATTGATTTGTTTTTAAATATCTGTTAATACAATGAGTCTAAAAGTCAGACACCCATATTGAACATTTTGGATTTTCTCATTTAACCCTGGAAATAAAAAGTAAGTTTAGGATATATAAAAAAAAAAGTGCAATGCAAATCGTTTAACTTCTCACTTACATTGTAATGCAGAGAATATAACTTGTAATGAAAATATGTATTTTATTTTAATTAAATTAGAAATAGCAAAATAGCAGCATTTTTTCGCAAACAAGCTGTACCTATATATTTTTATTTCTAAAGTGTTTTTACATAAAAAGAACATCTGATTTTAATTCATATACAGATTGAAATATATATTTATATAATAATATAGGTAACACTTTAGTTTAGGGACTAATTCTCACTATTAACTGGTTGCTTATTAGCATGCATATTTACTAGGATATGGGCTGTTTATTAGTTCTTATAAAGCACATATTAATGTTTTATTCTGCATGACCATATTCTACATCCCTTAATCCTACCCAATACCTAAACTTAACAACTACCTTACTAACTATTAGTAAGCAGTAATTAGGAGTTTATTGAGCAAAAGTCACAGTTAATTGTTAGTTAATAGTGAGAATGGGACCCTTATCTAAAGTGTGATTGTCACGTTTGGTTGGGTTTTGGTTCAAGGTTATGTTTTCATGTCTTTTTTTTTTGTAGTTTGCCTTGGCCATGTTTCATGTTCCTGTCATGTGCTTCCCCTGTTTATGTGTCTTGTTCTGATTGGTTCCCTTTTCTATGTGTCATGTTCTCATTGGTTCATTGTTTGATTATGCACAGGTGTTCCTTGTTAGTCATTAGTCTCTCTGTATAAATAGCCTTCATGTTTCATTATTCTCTTATCTAGTATTGTCTTTGTAACCTGCTGTTGGTGAGTTCAAGTCCATGGTCAAGTCCACGTTCCACGTCAAGTCTTTGTTTATTTTGTATTTAAATAAAACTGCACTTGGGTTCACATGCAACTCGCCTTCAGTGGACTTATGTTACAGTCCATAATATATTACTATTTAATAAAAGGGTTGTCAAACAGGTGTATTTGTTGTCTCATTTCTTTCAGGCACTTAAGAGGAAGATCCTGTTAAAAGGAAAGAAAATTAGAAATGAATCAGAGAGCCTCACAGATGAAGTCAGTGATGAGGACGAGGCAGCAGAAATGAATAAGGACTGTCCGGCATCGGAGAGTCCACCAACAGATGCAAAGGTAACAGTGGAAATATTGAGAAACTGAAAAAAAGCTCAGTTATTGTTTTCCACTTCCTTGTTCAACATTGTTTTTGATTGCCATGTATAAATACATATACATAAATACAAATTGCTATGTTTGATTCCCCTATGTAGAAATCGAAGCAAAATCTATGCAAAGAGCTCTCAGACCTGATGTTCTGTAAGAGTGTACATTTCCACAGCTTTGAACATTCCCGCACCTCTGCTAAGCCTGATGAGATGTCATCGTTCTCTGAGTCTAAAGCCCGTAAATATTCCAAGGAAGCAGGTCAGAAAGTTTTTTTTTTATGGATAGTTTGCCCCAAAACTGAAAATTCTGTCTGCATATATTCAATCTTATGTTGTTCCAAATCTGTATGCTGCTATGTTTTTTTCTGTGGAACACAAAAGGAGTTTTAGAGTCCACCAGGTTTTGAAAAAATATATTTTATATAAAATCTGAATAAATTTTTTTTTTTCCATAAACTCAAACTTCTATAACTTTTTTTCTGTTTCACTTTCTTAATTTATGTAACACAATTTCTACAAAAATCTGCCAAATGTCTTCTTTAAAACAAGACCGATCTTACATCTATATTCCAAAGCATTCTTGAATTACAACCATTTAAGTTCGGATTGTGCATTTTCATGTTTATTCAATCAAAAAAGGGGGCACGACACTTAAGAGGTTAAGCAGCTCTTTACCTTTTCATTTCTATACAAAAATATAAATATTATGTAAAGTGAGGAATGTTGAAATTCTGAAATTTTGTCAGGTTCAGATTTCGTTCTGCATAACACCAGGCAGCTGACAAGAGTGTATCCAAGTGGAATGAGAACGGATTCATCAAATTATTGTCCACTGGACATGTGGAACATGGGATGCCAGATTGGTCAGTATGGTAGATATTGAATTACACACCATTATGTCAGTACTACAGAGTGGAATAATGGGAGTATGGCAGACAAACGCTCGATGTAAAAAGGAGCAGGGAAACATGGCTAATGTGTTGTAAAGTGGACAGTGTATTTACTGTAATGTGTTTCTGATTCTTAGTGGCATTAAACTTCCAGACTGCAGGAATGGAAATGGATCTTAATGATGGGTTGTTTACTCAGAACGGCTGCAGTGGCTACGTTCTAAAACCTGAGATACTGTGCAACAGAGAGAGACTCTTTGATCCTGAAAAACCTGAGGAACGTGAGGATTACCACCCTTTACTGTTCTCTGTGAAGGTATTAAACAGTATTTGTGTTCCTTCTCCCACTTCACTTTGATATTTTATTTGTTGATTGTTCTTTGTTTTTTTAGGTTATTAGTGGGCAACAGCTCCCTAAAGTAAGGCAAAAAGAATGGTCCATTGTAGACCCCCTGGTAAGGGTGGAAATTTATGGTGTTCCTCTGGATCAAGCCAAACAGGAGACCAAATACATTGACAACAATGGTGAGGAAGTGAAGATTAAATGCTCTGAAGTGTTGCCAAATAATTTCAAGATAGACAAATGAAAAATTTTGCATGTTGACAAAACTGTTAAGAGTTCAATATGTAAGTTTACTGTGGAAATAGACATTTACAGACCATTGGAACCCTTTAATTCATGCTACTTGCAGTGATTTTTTCTTTGTGTTATTTTTCATCTGGACAGGATTCAACCCATGTTGGAATGAATCGTTGCAGTTCACAATCCACACCCCTGAGCTGGCACTGGTGCGTTTTGTAGTTGAAGACTATGATAAAGCATCTAGGAATGACTTCATAGGGCAAAACACTCTTCCTTTTACCTGTATTCAACCAGGTAGGCCATTTTAACAAAAGAAAAATATTTTCGGTCTCATTCACTAACTATGCAAACACAGCCTTTGTGTGAATGTTTCCAAACAGAAAACCTCATTCATCAATGAATTTAAGATAAAATTGAGAACCAATTGAAACTACATTTACACAGGTTCCAGGTGGCCTTAGAAAAATGTGGTGTGTGTATACACTGAACAAAATTATAAACGCAACACTTTTGTTTTTGCCCCCATTTTTCATGAGCTGAACTCAAAGATCTAAGACTTTTTCTATGTACACAAAAGGCCTATTTTTTTTTCAAATATTGTTCACAAATCTGTGTTAGTGAGCACTTCTCCTTTGCCGAGATAATTCATCCACCTCACAGGTGTGGCATATCAAGATACTGATTAGACAGTATGATTATTGCACAGGTGTGCCTTAGGCTGGCCACAATAAAAGGCAACTCTTAAATGTGCAGTTTTACTGTATTGGGGAGTCCGGGGTGGTCCGGGGGGGAAGGTTGTTGATTGTGGCCTGTGGAATGTTGGTCCACTCCTCTTCAATGGCTGTGCGAAGTTGCTGGATATTGGCAGGACCTGGAACACGCTGTCGTATACGTCGATCCAGAGCATCCCAAACATGCTCAATGGGTGACATGTCTGGTGAGTATGCTGGCCATGCAAGAACTGGGATGTTTCCAGCTTCCAGGAATTGGGTACAGATCCTTGCAACATGGGGCCATGCATTATCATGCTGCAACATGAGGTGATGGTTGTGGATGAATATTTGTGAACAATATTTGAGAGAAATAGACCTTTTGTGTACATAGAAAAAGTCTCAGATCTTTGAGTTCAGCTCATGAAAAATGGGGGCAAAAACAAAAGTGTTGCATTTATAATTTTGTTCAGTGTATATCCTCTTGTGAATCCGGCTGAAATTTTGTGTGAAAATCTTTTCTGATCACATAAGAATGCTTGTATGCAATTATTAGTGAATGAGACCCAGTGTCTTTAGGCCTATGCTCTGAAATAATTAAAAATTAATTTGGCTTTCTTGCAAATAAAAAGTTTCTCTTTCCAGGATATCGCCATGTGCATCTGTTGTCCAAAGACGGAATGAGTATCCATCCATCCTCCATCTATGTTCATATCAAAATCGCAGAGCTGTGATTTCACAATTCCAGGAGTATCATTTACAATGCTTGAAACTTGTTCTGAAGAGCTAATATTTCTCAGACATATCTGTAAATTGTAAAAGGCAGAGAAAACATTTTGTGCTTTATTTAAACAGTAATTATAGTATAGCAACTAACATTTTTTAAGAGTACCTCTACTGTTGCATGGTGTTTGTGCCTTCTCAACAAAAAAAAGACCCTCATGTATGGTGCAGAAATGCTTATTTGGTAAATGCAGATTTTACTTTCGATTATTTAATCTATGCAATATTGAGCATACTGATAATCAGAATATTTATTTTCTGTTTGAAAGTTACACAATAAGGGTAGAATGCAGGTTGTACATTATTTGGTTTTATGTAATTGAGCACGGTAAAGTACCTTTTATAAAAAACCCAAAAGCAAGTGTTCAAAGTAAATGACTTATACTCGTATTAAATATTTGTTTTTAATGTCTTAAAGGAATAAACATACTGAAAAAAAGAAGTTTATTCCGTGTGGTTTGAAGGTTATGAATACAAAGACATGTTATGCTTTCAAATGTCAATTGAAATGAATACAGAAACAGTGCATGGTTACATGTCCCTTGCAGTTTGCATGTGCTCTAAAGCAGTTTGCTCATCCTCTTGTCTCTCTTCTTCCTCAAGCCATGTCTTCTGTGTACCCATACTAGAGGCCTCTTGGTCTTTACCCACACCATCTTGGACAGGCAAGTCTGGATGGTGTCTCTGAAGGTGCTTCACAACCTGAAATTTCTGTTTAGCCCGGTAGGGACAGTGGAGGCATTTAAATGGCAGCTGATTGGTGTGGGACAGGTAATGATGGCGGAGACCTGCAGGCCAGCGGAACGCCCTTTGACATACGGAGCACACGTAAGGCCGCTCCTCACTGTGCTTTCTCTGGTGTGTCTTGAGCAGAAAGCGCGTCTTGAAAGCCTTTCCACACTTCTCACATATGAAGGAACGCACGTCTCTGTGGCGTGTCTCCCGGTGGATGCGCAGGGCATCGGCACGGTTGGTGCGGTACTCGCAGTCCTCACATACGTACGGTTTGGCACCTGTTAGAAACAAGGATAAAACATCAAGGTGTGCAGGAACTTTACAGTTAGAGTAAGTTAGACTATAGCACATACCTGTATGTTTTGTCATGTGATACTTTAGTTGGTTGACCCATTTGCATTTGTAGCCACATTCTGGGCAGAGATATTTGCGTTCCTCCATGTGAATCCTCATATGATACTAAAATAAAGAGCAACAACAGAATTGAAAGTCATAACCCAAATTCCCCAACCTTGAATCGCCATCTTAGCTAATTATCATTCATACCTTTAGTCTTGAAGGATCAGCACATGCATAGTTGCACATCTCACAGTGGTAAGGTTTCTCTCCTGTATGGATTCGAATGTGCCACGTGATCTTCTGTTTGTTCCTCGTGGAAAACTCGCATTCGGTGCACTTAAAGAGGCAGGTTCCTCCATGTGACCGCACATGCTGGTCAAACACCACTTGGTGGGTGCAAGAGAAACCACAAACATCACACTTCAGAGTTTTCTCCTCTGCTGGGCCATCTTCATGCTCATCTAACATGTGCTGGACCAGAAGAAGCCTTTTATGGGTGCTGAAGGAACAAACCAAGCACTGATGGTTGATGGATATCTTACTTTGTTTCTCCGGACCATCTTGAGGATCTTTTGTCTTGATTTCAGAATGTTCACGCTGCATATGTGCTTTGAGAGCAGCTTGGCGGCTGCAGGTAAAGTTACACTGGGTGCAAGACAGGCTGTTAGCATCTGGATGTGCTCTGTGGTAGTGCTGCTTCAGGGCAACTTCGGAGCTGAAACGTGCATTGCATTGGCTGCAATTGTAGGCAAGATCACCAGTGTGGCAGCTCAAGTTGTGGCGGTTTATGTCGTTGAGGTTATATGCTCTGTAATCGCAAAGTGAACAGAAGTGCGTTGCCTGTTTGTCATGAATGCGTTGATGGTGTAAGCGTAGTCTGGACGTGGTGCCAAAAGTTTGGCCACAGAGTTCACAGCTATGTCTCCCAACACCTGTGTGCAGGGACTCATGGGCCTCCAGCCGGTAGCGACGAATTGTGCTAAAAGAGCAGAAGCGGCAGCGGTGAGGGCGGACTCCCTCATGCTTCACGGCAACATGCTGTGTCAGGCAGCGCTTTTGTTTGCAGGTAAAGGAGCAAAGATTGCACTGAAGATTACCAGACATTTTACCTCTAGTAGCCTTCAAGTCTTTCTTGTGACTCAGGATATGATGGTTGAGAGATTTTTCTGATTTGGCAACAAATGAACAGTGCGGACACTGTAATTCACCTGGTTTTAAACAGCCCTTTATTTCATGGCTTGCTAGAGCTCTCTTCTGGTGACAGATAAAAGGACAGTTGGGACATGAGAATCGAGGTTTGGGGTTTTGAGGTCTCTCTTCTTCTCCTGAATCTCTTTCTGAGTCATTTGCCCCATCTTCCTCCTGATCATGGTCTGAGTCACTAGGATTATCCTCTTGCTCAAACTGCTTTCCCATTTCAGCCAGATGTACCTTATGGGCGTTTCCGCTGCATGTTGCACAATGTCGATCTATTGTGACTTTCCTGACAGAGGAGAAAGGACATTTTCTGCAAGTATACCTACCATCATCTTCAAAATAGCCAGAGGTCTCATTTACCGATCCCTCCACTTCCACTAGCTTGTTTCTACTCCCAACAGTTGCCTTCCCTCCTTCAGATGTGCTTGAATCAGTCTCATTTACTACAGTTATAATAGAAGACAGTGGGCCTTCAGGTTCAGCTGAACCTTTTACTCTTGAATCTGTAGAATCAGTGACTTTAAAAGGTTCAGGTTGTATTTTGAGGGATCCTGATTTGTGAGTCACACTCTGTATCTGTATAGATGCATCACTCCCTGAACTACCAACACAACTCCCTGATTTACCTACAGTGCTTGCTAAATCAAACTTCTTTCTGCCCCTCAGCAGGCATTTCCGGAGACAATGGGTGTTTAAAGAACGTTGCTGTTTAAAATTCATGCCACAGTCCTGGCAGCGTAGTCCTGCTTTCATGACCTGGCAAGACGACTTGCAGTGCCGGATTAATGCTGCATGCTTTCTGGTCACATAGGAGCAACGGCTACACTGAAACATTTTGTCCCGCGTCTGGACAACAAGCATCTGCACCCTGCCTTCTAGTATGAGTGCTTCAGCTTGGTCTTTATCCTGTTTTCTCATTACCTGCAGACGAGTCTCAGAAGCTGAGGGCTCTACAGAGTTGTCCTGACGTTTTTTGTCCTGAAGTCCCTCCCTACTCCTTACAGTTTCTGTCACTGGTGGCAGGTCTTCAGAGTCACTTTGATACTCACAAGCGGCATCATCCTCAACTGATGGTTCTGGGAAGTTCTGGTGGATTGTTTGCAATGTGTGAAATCCAACATGACTCTTAACTTGTGCATCAAATGCAGTGTCCTGTATGTTTACTGTCTCAACAAGTATCATTTGTGTGCTATTCGTGCTGGTTTGGGAAGTAAAAAGTGGGGTGCCGCACTGTTCTTCATCATTTGGATATCCTTCAGAAAGATTACTTGCCTCTTCTCTTGCAGACTCAATCCCAAGACTGACGTGCCGTACTAAAGTCATTTCCTCAGTTCGTCCAATAGTGGCTGCTATTGCTTCTTCCTCATTATCATTTATAGACATATCTTGTGAGTCATCTATAGTCTTATTGGACTGTTTTGTATTCCCTGTTTCTTCCCTGTATTCTGAATCTAAGGTCTGAGGTGCTGCGGTTTTGGAGAAAAAGTTGTGTGTCAAATCCACAGAGCTCTGCTCTTTCTCTTTCTCTGCATACTTCTCAAGCCACCCCACATCTCCTGGCACATATCCATGAGATTTCTTTTTGTGCAGGAAGAGGCCAGTGTTGCTAAATGTGGTGTAGTGGCAGAGCGCGCAGCGGAACACGCGTGTCCGGGTGTGCCTGCAGTTCTCGTGGTTATGCAGGGCTTGCCGGTATTTTGTTGTGTAAGGGCAAAACTTGCACTGGTAAACAGGAGGTTGGGAATCTACGTTTGTAGAGTGCTTCAGCTGCATATGGTTGCGCAGTTCAGTTTTTCTCTTGCAGGAGTATGCACACACCTCACAGATCAGGGATTTTTCCTGGTGACGGAGTTTATGGCTGTTCAGCTGGTCGATGCGGTGGCAACGATATGGACACTGATTACATTTGTACCTGAGAGATAAGAGGCAGTTCAGTCAAATAAATTGAAATGTTTTTGTTTTTTTAATCACATTTTAATTACAATCAAGGTACAAACCTCAGATCTCCTGCGTGCTTACGCATGTGGACACTGAGATAGTGTTTCCATTTCGTAACATATCCACATTCTGAGCACATGTGCTGCTTGTCACTGGAGTGCGTCAGCATGTGCTTTGAAAGGTACGTCTCATCACGGCATCTGAAGTCACATTGCGTACATTTGTGGGGCTTTTCACCTGTAAATACAAATGTTAAATATGTCCAGCCATGGCCAATAAGTAATTCGAAGGTATAGTTCATTCAATAATAAAAATGTTATCATCATTTACTCACTGTCATGTCATTTTAAAATCCTGTGCAAAATGCAAATTAAGATGTAAAGCACAATATCCACACTGCCCTTTTCCACAAAATAAAAGTGGATGGTGATTACTGCCAAGCTCCAAAAGGACCAAAAAACACTGTAAAAGTATCATAAAACAAATCCAAGTAAACCTGTCTGCTATCCAGTATTTCAAGTTTGCTGCAACCAAACTAAAGCTTTTGATGCTATGAAATTTGAGAGCTACTACAGCAGAAGGGAAGATACCTACATTTCACTTGGTTCCTTACACAAATGTATTGCATGACTTCAGAATACTTGGAATATATATCACAATTTGTATGGACTACTTTTGTTACGTTTATGTATTTTATTGTATGGAATCAGAGGTGGACAGTAACAAAGTACACTTTTTGAGTACTTTACTTGAGTGTTATTTTTTCTGGAAACTTTTTACTTTAACTTCACTACATTTGAAAGACAAATATCTTACTTTTTACTCCACTACAATTCTGTCAAGGTCCTTGAGTAGAAAGTAGTAATGTCAGTCAGGGGATGATTTTTGTTGTATTTTGGTTGGAAATAAAAGTCGGGTTGAAATCAACTGACATCAACCTGATTTTCATTTTCAATGTTGGGTTTGGTCTTCTAAATGCGAAGCACACTAGCTTATAGATAACAGTAAGGCTAACATATTCATACTAAAAGCCAAAAAACTTTAAATAGGGCACTATTCGAGGGAACAGCAATTTGGGTGTCCGAAACCATTGTGGACGTTATTGAGTGCACTTATTCAATCTCGCATTCAATCCCACTACTGGAACCGTGTTCTAGAAATAAATTTGACATTGATATGAGGGTAGGTAGGCAGGCATAGATTCAGAGGCATAAGGTACTGTAAGTATTACATACAACAATGTAACAATTATAAAAAATGCATTTACTTTTTACTTTTAAAATTTAAGTACTTTTAAAAACAAGTACTTCTGTACTTTTACTTGTAGTGCATAAAGGTGCATTGTGTAATATATTTAGGAGGATCTGTTGACAGGAATGCAATATCATATACATAACTATGTTTTCAGTGGTGTATAAAGACCTTACTTAATGAACCGTTATGTTTTTATTACCTTAGAATGAGTCATTTCTATCTACATACACCGCGGGTCCCCTTACATCGACATGTTTTTACAGTGGCCCTAAACGGAAAAACGCGTTTGGCACTATGTTGTTCTTCGAGCAAAGAAGCTAGCTAAAGTCAGCGAGTCAGCGAATAAAACACTGACACAATGATGAACAAGTAACAATAATATTCGCAATAACATATCGTTTTACTGAATAATTAAGTAAACCTAATTTCTTAATTTATCTTTGTAAAGAAACCTCATTGATTAACTGAATACTCTCTGCTGTCTCAGACGATGTAACTTAACTTCTGCTGGATGCAATTCACAACCTCACCACTAGATGCCACAAAAAATTACACACTGCACCTTTAAGTAAAAATCAGTATTTACAACTTTTACTTGTAATGGAGTAATATTTATCTGTGATAAATAGTAGTATCTGTGCTTTCACTCAAGTAAGGAAGTTGTGTATTTTGTCCACCTCTGTATGGAATAGAGCCTAATATCTTCTGTATTTCATGAAAATATTTCATGAAATAATACAAGGTTGGAATGGCAACAGTGTGAGTAAATGATTACCGAATTTTCTTTTGAGTGACCTAACCCTATAAGCACTTAAAGAAGAACTATGTAGAAAAACTAAATATCTTACCAGTATGCATCAGCATGTGTCTTTTCAGGACTCTTTTGTGAGCTGTTACAAAGCTGCACTGCGGGCAGTGTTGTGTTTTCTCATTGGCATGAAAGTGACCAACATGTTGATCGAACTCTACAGGGTTGAGGGTGGAGAAAGGGCAGAAGCTACAGTTCAGTTCTTGTTTCCCTGGATGTCCTTGTCTTTTGTGCTGCTGAAAATGGCTCTTATTTGAGCATGAGAAGTCACAGTGGGGGCAGTGATAAGCCTGATGCGAGCGGAAATGTTTCTCCATGTCTTCTTGACTCTCGTAGAAGGAGCCGCAGGCGTGATGCCGGCACTCTACTGCCTCAATTTGGTGAGCATCTAATACATGCTTTTGAAGCTGCTTTTTTTCTGTACTCTGAAATGAGCAGCCTTTATGAAAGCAAAGCAATGGCTGTCCATCTTGTATCTTATTGTGAGACTTCATATGGATCTTTAATGCCTGACTCTGACTGAATGTCTTTTGGCAAGTTGGGCACTTAAACAGCTCTCCGTTGGGAGCTTTATCCTCTTGATGCCCGTGCACACTGGCAAGGTGTCGTCGCAGAGAGTTGCGTTCCACCGCTCCGTACTCACATAGATGACACTGGTGCAGTTTCTGTCCCGTCTCTCTCAGCATGTGGATGCGTAGCTTACTCTTGCTGGTGAAATGGTGTTTGCAGGTGGGACATTGCAGAGTGGGGTCGGGAAAGTGGATGCGCATGTGTTCTATCAAATGGGAGCGAGTCTTGAAACAGCGTCTGCATTCGGAGCAGATGTGGGTGCGAAACATGTGTTCGGTGCCTTCTGCAACATGTCCCACTAAATAAAAAAATGGGACCTGGTCAGACCTGGGATTACAATTATTTTAATCATAACATTCATGGTATTTACCTTTAGATGGAGACGTTCCTTGGGTAATGGTGGTCGATTTTTTCCCTTTTTTTGTTGAAGCTTTTAATTTTTTGGCCATACTTTTCCTTCTTTTAGATTGCACAGGCATATCTGTTCTATTCAAATGAGACAAAACTACAACAGAAAGAAAATAAAACACTTTGAATTATCGACAAAAGACAAATTCATACCTGATATATATATATATATATATATATATATATATATATATATGGGATAATGTATTGTCACCCTGTCATTATTACAAAATTACCTCCTCCAGGGTTATACGAGATTTTGCGATAATAACTGGCTGATTGTATAGTATATTTATCAAATAAACAAACACAAAACAGTGACCTGAGTCACAATTATTTTATTAGGACACAGAAAGATATGAGAGATGTGAATCTAACAACAGACCAACCAAAATCAAATATTCCAGAGCCCCATGCCTTACTGAATATATAATTAATAAGCATTATTGTATTTTACCTTCAGGTGTATCTGTTCCATTATTTTCCATATGTATGAGCTGTTCTGCATCATGATCACATCCAGGCTCTTGTTGGTCCATGTTATAATTCGGGTAAAACTCCACAGGACATCAGTCAGTCAAGAGGGGTAAAACTCCATTACAGCATCAGGACCATGAAGTGTTTCTGTCTCTCAGGGCAAGACTGTTCTGCATCACCAATGAGATCAAATGATTAATGGTTTATGGAATACCAGACTTGAGATTGAAAGCTGATCAGGGTTCTTGTCAGTTATTTAACATAATATAAAGGACATGATAAAGCGAACAGTACACAAATTAATACAGTGCGATAAATATTATGTGAACCTTTGAGAGGAGGTTTTGTTGGAACAAACACGTTTCTTTTAAACAGATTTTAGACCTACTGCGCCTAGGTTCGTGTTTCATTTGCTCTGATAAACATAAACAACATTCTCAAGGAAGCGCAGAAGATGTGTTAAGTTACAACAAACTGCTCCGAGAGACAATTATAATGATAACACATTAAATAAAAAACCTTTATTATAATCATTAACTTACTTAAATTATATGATTAAGAAATTACCTTCATTTGTGATGATGGAAACAATGTAAGCGGCGTAATTTCTGGGCCTTTTTTGTTCAAAGAGGAAAATTAATTCTTATACAATAATCTTGTATACATGTTGAAGCATCACTTATAAAATACCCCAAATCTACAGTTAACAGTTCCTAAAGATACCTTAGTGTCATACCGAGACTGCGTCGTAAACAGTCACAACGGAACTATTAATGTGAAACACATTACATACGGATCTATTTTCTCGCACAACGGAAATAGCACAGAGGTCGCCATGTGATTTGCTCATTTTATTTTAGTGAATCGGTTCTTTTGAACAGTTTGTCTAAAAGAACTGGTTTAAAAAAAAACGAATTTAAAGTGAGACTGGTTTGTGAATTGGTTCAACCGAGTCATTGAAAAGATTCGACTCAACCAAATGAACGATTTGTTTACGCTGCAATGAGAGAGACCTATTGCTTACTGTAGGCAGGCTCTGCTTTATTGCACTATTTATCTGATGCGCACCTTTTTCGTTTGTTTTAAGTTAACAGAGAAATTGTTGTTTGTAAAATGCGGTGTGATATTTGCACTACCGCAAGTATAGCGACTTTTTAATTCTGCATTTATTTAAATAAAAATATACCGGTAGATCTGATTAGTGACAGCTTGGTATGTTTTATCAGTCTCTCATCAAAATTAAGAAGAAAATGGTTTCACGTCATTTGCTGTGAATGCAGGATGTAAGTTATATTGCATGGAAGATACAGAAAGACTTGTCCTAATTGCTTAAAGAGAACCTGAAGACACCTTCATCATGACCCTGTCAGATTTCATTGGAGCCCTGAAGGACAACCCTTATTTTGGGGCAGGATTTGGGCTAGTTGGTATTGGCACAGCACTTGCAGTTGCCAGAAAAGGGGCACAGGTCGGCATGATCTTCTTTAGGAGAAATTACATGATCACACTGGAGGTCCCCAGCAGAGATAAAAGTTATCACTGGCTCTTAAGCTGGATCACTAAACATGCGCAGCACACCCAGCATCTGAGTGTTGAAACCTCATATATGCAGCATGAGAGTGGGCGAGTCCATACACAGTTTGATTTCCATCCAAGTCCAGGCAACCACATCATTTGGTAAGATCACAATTTATGTAGAGAGATTTATTTTTTTATATATTTTTAATATTAATATTTTTTATTACTGCTGGCTGGTATCTTAGTAAGGACCCACTAGCATTACCAGTCAAAGTGTAGTTCTCATTATTATACTCCCCCATTGGTACATTACTTGCATTCTAGATTTGTGTTTGTATTCTGATGTTACTTTGGACAGTTTACATTTGATAAGTTGCTGATTTGATCTTCCTCTCAGGGATCAAAGGTATCCATCTCACTAATTGAAGCTATGTGTTTTCAGGTATGGTAGGACGTGGATCAGAGTTGAGAGGACCAGGGAAAAGCAGATGGTGGACCTGCACACTGGAACACCCTGGGAGTCCGTCACCTTCACTGCCCTGGGAAGAGACCGGCAGATATTCTTCAACATTCTGCAAGAAGGTACGTGACTGTCAGCTGAATTCCTTAGAAATGCGTTGCAGCCTTAAGGGGATAGTTTACCCAAAAATGAAAGTTCTGTCATGATTTACTCACCTTCATGTCGTTCCAAACCCGTAAGACTTTCGATCATCTTCAGAACACAAATGAAGATCTTTTGAATGAAATCTGAAAGATTTATGTCCCTCCATTGACAGTCTACACAACTACCACTTTAAAGCTTCAAAATGTTCATAAAGAGATCGTAAAACTAATCCATATGACTTGAGTGGTTTAGTACAAATTTCTGAAGAGACACGATCGCTTTATATGATAAACAGATTTAATTTAGGCTTTAATTCACATACGGTATAAACATGGCTCAGCAAACATAAACAGAAGCTTAAACGAACCTGCTTGATGTGTGAGAACTGCGTAACACGATAATGAACCTCATTGGTTCTCGCACGTCAAGCGAACAACTGATGTGTGAGTTGATGAGTGTTTATATGTGAATAAAAGCCTAAATTCAATCTGTTCATCATATAAAGCGATCATGTCTATTCAGAAAAGTTTGGACTAAATCGCTCAATTCATATGGATTTGTTTCACAATCTCTTTATGAATGTTTTGAAGTGTCAAAGTGGTAGTTGTGTAGACTGTCAATGGAGGGACAGAAAGCTCTCAAGTTTTATTAAAATATCTTCATTTGTGTTACGAAGATGAACGGAAGTCTTATGGGTTTGGAACGACATGAGGATGAGTAAGTGATGACAGAATTTAAATTTTTGTGTGAACTATCCATTTAATGATTAATTCTGTGTCCGTGCAGCACGTGAACTTGCTTTAAAGCAGGAAGATGGCCGGACTGTTATGTACACTGCACTTGGAGCGGAGTGGAGGCCATTTGGGTTTCCAAGGCGACGACGACCTCTGTCTTCAGTAGTGCTTGAGAATGGTGTGGCGGAGAGGATTGTGGATGATGTAAAGGAATTCATAGGCAATCCTAAGTGGTACACTGACAGAGGTGAAATAGGAAATGATAACTTCAATCAAAAAAAAAATTCCATATCAGGAAAAAAATCTGTGTGCACGTCTCTAATGTCACTAGAAAGCATTATAGTAAATAAAAGTATTGCTTTTGTGTTTGTTTTATGTTTTATTTCATATCTAATTTCAGTTTTGTTGTTGAATATGTTTCAATAAGGCATTCCATATAGGAGGGGCTATCTGCTGTATGGACCCCCAGGCTGCGGAAAGAGCAGCTTTATGTAAGTATTACTTTCTTTACAGTTCATGTTACTATGAATGAATAATAGTGTCTTATAAAGTATTGTTTTTATACAGAGTGTAGATTTGAACCTCACAATATTATAGTTTTTACTGAGTTCTTGAACAAATAAACTCAGCCTTGGTAAGCGTAAGAGACATCTTTCAAAAACATTAAAAAAATCTTACAGACCCCAAACCTTTTTAACAGCAGTGTCTATACCTGTAATTATGTATTATTCTTTAATAGTCTATATTGATAGATAAACTGCTAATACGGCTATTTATACATGCAGTGAAAATAACATCTGAGATTTTTTAAATGGTTAAGTATGGCTGCAAAAAAAGCAATTTTAAACATAGCGCAAAAGTGCAATTTGGAGTCCCAAGTCTTACCATTCTGGCGGTATTTCAGAACTGCGCTGGCAGGTGAGCTGGGTTACAGCATCTGTCTGATGAGTCTCAGTGACCGCAGCCTGTCTGACGATCGCCTCAACCACCTGCTGAGTGTCGCTCCGCAGCAAAGCATCATCCTGCTAGAGGACGTGGATGCAGCCTTCGTCAGCCGGGATCTTTTGCCTATAGAGAGTATGACTTACAGACTTCTGAATATGTTTATATGTTGAATTATAATTAAATAATATCAAATAATAATAATAATAGACAATGTAATTACAATCACGTGTGAGTAATCATGATAATCTAGATTGGGCCCTAGCATTAACAAAACAGTGGAATATTTGCATTTGTTGATGTAATTCAAACTTCCTTGCCATGTGTTCTCACAGATCCACTGGCCTATCAGGGCATGGGAAGGCTCACTTTCAGTGGACTTCTGAATGCTCTGGATGGAGTGGCATCTTCAGAAGCCCGAATTGTGTTTATGACAACTAATTTTATTGACAGGTAAAACTTATTACTGCAACTTGTTGACTTATGCATTGCTTTTTTTTTGTTTGATGTTCTTTAGAATGCAAAATCCTGATTTTCTTGCCCTTGATAATTTTAAGATTAGTGGCAATAAGGTTTGTTTTACAAAGCAAGGTAGTGATAGTCAGATATATTGGCAGATAAATTCATATTTATCAAAATGTATGTTAATTATATTGAATATTATATTTAAATGGTTAGTTCATCAAAAAATGGAAATTCTGTCAGTTTTTTTCCAATATCCCATTTCCAAACTTATAATTATCTTCGGAAAACAAATGAAGGTAGATCTGAGAGTTTTCTGTCCCCTCATTGAAAGTCCTTTGAACCAAAATTCTGACGCTACAAAATGTTCATAAAGAGATTGTAAAATAAATCCATATGGATCAAGTTAATTAATCCAAGTCTTCTGAAGAGACTCGATTGCTTTATACGATGAATGGATATAATTTAGACTTTTACACATAAACATTGATCAACGAATATGAATAGAGCACTCAAATATGGCTAATATAAGATCAGCCGCATTTGCTTGACGCACAAGAACAAACCTCATTGGTTCTTCCTGAAGCTCAAACATGCTGCCATGACACGTGAGAATGAACCTTATTGGTTCTCGCACGTCATAACCATGTTTAAATTAAATCTGTTTGTCATATAAAGCGATCATGTCTCTTCAGAAGACTTGGATTAAAACGCTTGATTCATATGGATTTATTTTACAATATTCTTATGAACGTTTTGAAGCGTCAGAGTTTTGTTTCAATAGACTTTCAATGGAGTGACAGAAGTCTTTCAGATTTCATTAAAAAATATCTCTGTTCCGAAGATGAACAAAAGTCTTATGGGTTTGGAACGACATGAGGGTGAGTAATTGGTGCCAATTTTCATTTTGGGGTGAACTAACCCTTTAAAGCTGCAGTCCGTAGCTTTTTTGGGGTTTAAAAATGATACAAAATACATATTTA